GGCTTGAGCTCGGGCAGGAGCGGTAGGCGCGGGGGCGCGGCGGCGTCGCCGACGTCCGCGGGGCCCCGGCTGCAGAGGCGCGGCTGCTGGACGGGCGGTGAGTGGAAGCCGTTTTGCAGGAGCCCGTTCACCGCAGCAGTGCCAGCGCCCGGCGGGGTCCCCGGGGCGTGCAGGGCTGAGCGCTCTGCCTGCCCACCGTAGTCACCCATACCGGAGGCTGGTGGGACAGCGCGCGAGCCCCGCCTCAGGCGGCCTCGCTGGAGGTCATTCTCGGGCGTCTTTATTTCCCCGGATCCTCCCTGCGGCTTCCGATTCAGCAGCCGCAGAGCCGGCGCCGGTGGATGGCGAACTGAGCGCTCTTCCCCTCCTCCCACCGGCTCCACCAGCTCCTCCGCGTCCTGCCCCCCGCACGCGGTCTCCGCCCCACCGGCCTGAAGCATGCCCGCCCCGGGCGCGGGATCTGGGATCTCCGCGCACCCCCAAACGGGGCCCCCGCAGCCCACCTCCCCCAGATCCACGAGCCGCGCGACTTCAAACGCGGCTTCCTCGCTTCCCAGACCAGTCCCTGCTACTGAGCATGCCCAGTCCTGCCCGCCACCGCCGCCGACGACTTTCAACATGGGGACTGAAGTTCTCTGGATTTGCAAAGAGATGGGCGGGTTGGGCTTTGTCTGACGGAGCGAGCAGAGAGGAGACTGGACGAGGTGGGCGGGAGAGGGGCGAGAAGCTTCCGGAGGAATGCAGAAGGAGGACGTTAAATATTTGTAGAGGTTTCAGGTTTGTTAATCTTGTCCCTGGTGGGCTAGATACCTCTGCAAGGTCATTCACGTCGTTCCCACACTCAAACCTTTGTGAGTGTGCCTGTGTTTGGTTAAGTGACTAAACTACTCACAACCCTGAGGGGAGGGAGGAGAACGATTATTTTTAGAAGGGTAGGATGATTTGGAGAGAGAGAGGAGTAAATTTCTTTGCTGGCACAAACACAAGCACCATGTGGTCTCGCGGAGTTGTCTTTTGCAGAGAGGAAACCTAGGAATACAGTGTAAGGACAGTGAAGGGCACAGCTGTAGGCAGGATTAACAAGTGCTGGAAGAGACCAAGTAAACAGAAGCAGTCCCAGCTATAAAAAGCACTTTCCTCACCCAGAAAGGACTTTAAGAGACAATGTCATGCTGTTTCCGCTTCGAATGGTGGTGAGCTCCATAAGCTTTAGAGTCGAAACTGGGTTCAAATCTCAACTTAGCCACTGAGCAAACCCAGAGAAAGTGATTGCTGAAGTTAACACACCTGGCCCTACAAAACAGGCCTGGGCGTGCTTAATTAAAGGCAGGACAAATTTGGGTGGTGCAGACCTTCCCAACATTGTGTAATCCCTGAAGCCTCAGTTTTTTAATCTAAAAGTACCTGGTACAATCTGTCACAGGGTGAATGCCCAGAAGAGGTCATTTATTCTTATTACACTGTTATTAGTCCACCCTTCATTTCAAACAAGAGAAACAAACCATGCTTGCAGCCATATTTATTGTGCGTTATTGTGCATTCTCCGTCATCTGTGCTTAATCTAGAGAGGAGTCAGAGGCCTGTGTGCATTCAGCAGCAGCCAGGGCCTGCAGCTCAGATTTGGCAATGCCTTCTAGCAGAGCCTTATCTACCTAGAATCAGAGATTTAGAAACAGTGCCCACTTGAGAACCAGTATCCACTCATTTTTTCCCTCTGGATAAGGAAACTGAGCCACAGAGAGATGGCTGAGGTTATTAAGAGCAAAGCCACCTCTGGCTGGTGTGACTCAGTGGACAGAGTGCCAGCCTGTGAATGGAAAGGTCTGGTTGATTCCCAGTCAGGGCACATTCCTGGGTTACGGGCCATGTTTCTCTCCATCTCACTCTCCCTCCTTTCCCCTCTCTCTAAAAATAAGTAAATAACATATTTTAAAAATTTTTAAGGAGGGCAAAGCTAGGAATAACCCTAAATCTCCTAATTATCTGCTTCCCTAACCTTATTTATATTTGAAGACAGAAAAACACCCAGGTGGTGTGGCCTGTCCCTACCTTCGTTCCCTCCTCTTGGGGTCCTTGTGCTCTCTCTCTACAAAAGAGAGAGCCTTTCAGTTCCTCAAATGATCATCCCTTTGATCTGCTGTTTCTTTTGCCGGAAAATCTCTTCCCCCAGAACTCTGTGTCTGGATTCAAACTCAGTCCTCAGATCTCCACTTCAACTCTTATGTTTAGAGAGTTGCTCCCTTTACCTTCCTGACTCTATCACTTTTAATTCTACAATGGGGATAATAATAGAACATTACTGAGTTGTTACAGCGATATACCTTTAAAAATATATACCTTTAAATACATACCTTTAAAAATATATACCTTGAAAGTGCCCAGCACATCATAAGTACTATGAAAAAGCTAGATAGTATTGTTAGATTGTCCATTTCCCCCACTACACTGTAGTCACCATTAAGGAAAATGACTTTTGTTCATCACTGTATCCCTAAGAAGCTCTTGGTAATTGTGTGTGAGTGAGTAAATGACAGGTGATATTTCACCCAGGGTATCTCTTACTCTCTATTGTAAATTTGCTTTAAAAAAACCCCTACATTGCTACTCCTAAATATTCAGATATATAGTTTTCAAATTCCTACATAATTTGAGTAGGAATTCCTACATAAACTGAGTAGTTTTGGCAGCAGTTGACATCAGAGATGCAAATAGAAGGATTAGCAATGCAGAATCTCCAAGGACATAATCTCTCCAACTTGATTCCCAGGCATGGTAAGGAAGGCCTGAGCCAGGTGGCTTAGAGCCAGGCAGGGCAGAAGTGACTGGTACTGGGGACAGAACGTCCTCCGCCTGCTTCCTTTCTGCCGCCCTTGTCAGGATGGTGTCCTGGATCAGTTACAGCCGGCATGGACATGTGGTCAGGAGGAAGCCAGGTGGCATCTCACAGGTCTATTTGAGGGGAGGGGGAAGGTGTCAGAGGTGTAACTCTGAGCATGACCTATCCTGCTCCAGCAGGGGATGGAATAATGTTTGGAAGGGAGTGATGGAGAAGGGAACCCACAAGCTTCTTCTCTCCCTCTGTTCATTCATTAATTTATTTGCCAGTTACATGTCAAGTGTGTACTATGTTGCAGACACTAAAACAGATGCCTTCACTACCCTAGGGCCATACAGTTCTTGGAGAGAGGTAAGTCAAGCATTCTCCAGCATCACCGTAGATAATAAACCAGGGATCCCTGGCTGGTATAGCTCATTGGATTGAGTGCGGGCTGCAAACCAAAGGGTTGCTAGTGTGATTTCCTAGTCAGGGCACATGCCTGGGTTGCGCGCGTGCCAGGTCCCCAGTACACAGCCAGGGAGAGGCACCCACACATTGATGCTTCTCTCCCTCTCTTTCTCCTTTTCCCCTCTCTCTAAAGATGAATAAATAAATTTTTTTAAAGAATAAACCAGGGAGCTTTTCCTGGTCAACATTTTGTTGAAAATCATACATGTAGACATGTATCCTAAGGGTAAAGCTCAATGAATTTTGCCACAAATAAACTCCCTGCGTAAACTGCACCTGATCAAGAAACAGCATGACCAGTAACCTAAGAGATTTTTTAAGAGCAGGTTCTGGGCTAAGGCCCATAATTTCCCATAGACTGATTCAGTCGGTTTAGAGCATAGGTATCTGCATGGTGATGATGATGATAAAGAAGAAGAATATACTTTAAATAAAACTAAGAATTTTTTTCAATGGGATTATGATGCAGATGGTCTTTGCTTGGAGAAGCAATGAACGAAGAATATGTCACCTATGCTATGGGAGGTGTGAACCAAAAAGGGGCTGTGTAATAAATAAATGTAACCAACAGTAACTTCACAGGGTTATGCGATGATAAATTCCTACCTGAGCAGGCCATGGTGGGTAGTCATGTCCCAGGCCTATAAAAGTTTTATCTTCACCTTAAGTAAGCCTTGCCCATCTAGGTTTTAACATGTAAAAATAAAATACACAGAAAAGGGGCAAGACCTTCCACCTATATTCTCTCTGGGTTTTACACCTTTAAAAGGACGGTCCTTTAACAATACAGATATGATGATGATAACCTGATAGCAAAAACAAAGTCCCTACCCCTTACCTAGATTTCAGTAAAGACAGGCCTTAAGCACATAATCAGCACAAAAGCAAAGGTGTAAATGCAACCTGTGATGTGCAGGAAAGTTAAGGCTCCCAGTGTCATGAGGGACACATACCAGGGTGACCTGGCCTAGTCTTAAACTTTCGCAGATTAAATGATATTTAAGCTGAATTCTGAACATTGAGGAGAAGTTAGCTAAGGTGAGTATGGGTGTGAGTGTAGGGGAGGTATTCTTAGTCTGTCCTATATTTAAAATATGGTAGCACTTCCTAAATACTTGCTGAACGGAAGAATAAGTTGACTCTGAATTTCTCAGTAGGGCAAATCAAACGTAAGGAAATTATTCACTAGAATAAAACATTGGAGAAAGGTTAGGCCAATCTCTTTCACTTTACTGCCCTATCTTGGTTGCTTTTCTCTCTGGTGATGAAGTATTTTTCTACTCAGTATGCTTGTTGCCTATTTAAATTTTATTTTTTTCCCAGTCAACAGAGATGGAAAAATAGCATCAGCAGCTGCCACTACCAGTAATAACTTTGTGTACAGGAATGAAACACAGCCCACAGGAACAAACTTCCTGTCAGTCACTAAGAGTCTTTGAGCACCTACTAATTATGATTTGGTGAAGGTGGGGAGTATGGCTACCCAGAATTTTGATAAGCTATGATCATAGTAACCCCAAGTATAATTTCAGGAATGGACTTGGGTTTAGCAAAATTATAAGTTACTATCTGATATTTACTGAGTCCTCTATGCCATACACTGTACTAAGCACACTAAGTGCCATCTTCTTTTTTATTGTTATTCTAATACAGTTGCCTCAATTTCCCCCCTTTGCCCTCCTCCACCCATCCCACCTCCTGCTCCCACAGTCAAAAAAATATGGAACGCTTCACAAATTTGCATGTCATCCTTGCACAGGGGCCACACTATTCTTCTCTGTAGCGTCCCAATGTCAGTATGTGTGCTGCCAATGCAAGCACCTAAGTGCCACCTTTTTCATCGGCACAGAAGCTGTGTGAGTTGGGTACTGTGAGTTATTATTTTCATATTCCAGACGGGAGAACTGAAGGTTAGAGAGGTTCATTAACTTGCTGAGGTTCACACAGCAGAAAATGTATAACTGACATTTGAACTCAGGTCTGGGTGGTTCTGGAAACTGCATGATTCCGAACTGTAGTGCCTCCCCAAAGGTGGTGTTCATCCCGTTACCTGCAGACTTTGCACCATGGTTGCAAACACCTGATACACTGTTCCCCTGTCTGCATAGCATTGCCTTTCAGAACAATCATTGGGTCCCTTTATTTCTCACTAAAATTGTTTGCAGTCTAATTATTTTTTAAATGATGTCACCGTGTGCAAGCTACTGTTTCAAGTCCTAAGGTTACAGTGATGAGCTGGGCAGAAAAGTCCCACCCGTCACAGTGCGTACATTCTTGGGGGCATGGACAGGAGATGACAGGGAATAAGCAGGTACAAGTAAATAAGTATAGACTTTACTAAGTGACATAAAAAATAAACAAGGTGAAGGGAAAGAGAATGACAAAGCAGGGGCAGTTTAGATGAGGGTAGTTCAGGAAGCTTCATTGATGCTGGTACCTGAGGGTTGAGAGACTGAGATGAGATCTGTCATTTAAAGTGATTTGGAAGAGCATTTGAAAGAGGGAAAATCATATGTACATTCTGTGTGTATGTGTGTATATGTGTGTATCTGTGTGTGTGTGTATTCATGTCTCTAGAACTAAAGTCCCAGTGTTTGGGGGATGCTGGTGACAACCTCTGAGCGTGATGGCAGTGGTGGGGTGAGTCTTGTGTTAGGACCCCAGCATTCAGAGCATTCAGATTTGTCATGTAGCTTCCCTGTTTTCCAGGTAGAATTCCCTCTGAATAGTGAAGGTTCAGTAGCTGCAAATAATAAAAGTGACTTTAAGTCATTTCAGCATTGAACAAATTAATAGAGGGAACTGGGTGGAAGGACTGAAGGGACAGCCTCTAGCCTGGGCTCCCCACAGTGCCTCCCCAGATTTTACCAGAATTAACTTACTAAGGAAGGGGGCTGCTAGTTGTGGTTCGAGAGCGAAACAAGAAGCCAGGGGACTCACTACTCTTATGTAGCACTATATATGGGCCCAAACTCATTGAACTGTGCACTTACATTGATGAAATTGATTGTGTTTAGGTTATATCTTAGGAAAGCTAACCCAGAAAATAAAGGATAGAATTGGAGAGAGCTGGATGTGGAAGCATATTAATATGTATAATGTTTTAACATTATACAATGCTTTTTTGTATACCAATATTTTCACATATTCTTATTAAGACAAAAACTATGATCATTTCAAGAAGCCAGTGAGATAAATAAGATATTGTGTCCACTTTATATATGAGGAAAATGGACCTGCAGAGGTTGGGTAAGTGGTTTGTCCAATATCATATGGCCGCTGAACAGATGAGGCAGAATTTCTTGCACATTTTGCTTCTGCAGTTTTCAAATACTTAAAAGTTGCTTACAAAAACCGAAGGAGAGAGAAGCAACACTTTCATAGAATACAAAAGTTCTCCCACATGCTGGTCTTCCATGACCTAGAATGAAAAGGAGAAAAGTGATAACTTAAATCACAATAACTAGAACAGAACCTCTGAGAAGCAACAGAAGTTTTAAAATATCCCATCTTTGACTGTAATGCTCTTTCAAGTTGCGCTAACACTTCAGCTTTGACTCCGTTGGGAATACAGTGTTCTACATTTCCTGTTTTTACCAGGGTCTGTGATCCCGACTTTCACGTGTGTTCAGAGCCTTCGCCTGCTGTCCGCTTGCTGCGCTCAGTCAGGCCAGAGGTCTGGCTCCTGCGGGCTGTCTTCCTCAGGTCCCTGCTGTCTTCCTGCTGGCTGAGGTCCATGGGAGGCACTGGGGAGAGAATGGCAGGATCCTTCTCTCCTCCCTTCTTTACCTCGGGAGGCATTTTCAAAGCCGTTGCCCTTCTTCTGGGGTCTCCTCGATTCTGTCTTTCACTGGGTGATCTTAACTCCTGGGCCCCTTAACTCCTTAACTTCTTTTCTTTTTTTTTAAAGAACATTTATTTATTTATTTTTGGAGAGAGGGGAAGAGAAGAAGACCCACAGTCCCTCCCTTTGGACATCCAGGTTGGTTTCTCTTCTGATCGGACCTTGAGCAATAGATCATCTGCGATGTTGACTCGGGATTAGATCTAGGACCATTGCTGGAAACGCTGTTAAGGCTTTAACCAAGTCACTTTACATCCTTTTATAGCCCACCTCTCAGGCACATCTAGACATAACATCCATTATTCCATTCCCAGTTGGGCCAGGAATTCCATTCAATTTGTGTCAGAAATACACCCTTAGAAAACTACAATTTATTTATCAAATCACTTGGTCTGTGATCATCTAACAGCTAAAATAATGTATTTAACAGGTCTGGAATCTCTGAATAAACATTTAGCTGCCCATTTGTCGCACAACATTTAGCATATTAAATTGGTATAGTGGAGATTTTATTAGTTGGCATAGTTAACACTAATTTCTGTAATAAATAACTGCAAAATCTGAGTGGCTTAACATAATAAATGTTTATTTGTAGCTCACAGAGAGTTGAACAGCTGGGGCTTTCTGCTGCAGGCAGTCACTTGGGAACCTAGTGTTGCCCTGGATGTTGCCATCCAGCTAGCAGGTGAGGATCAGAGAGCGCACCGAGGGTTGTGGGCATGTTTTAGGTAACAGGCCTGGGAGCAACATATATCGACTTGGTCCACATCTCACTGGCCAGAACTCAACCATGTGGCCCCTACCTAACTGCCAGAAAGGCTGAGAAATGTAGTTTGATTTAATACATACTAGAAAAAAGAAATGACCTTGGAAAATGCATGGTCAGTCTCAGCTGCCCTTCTGGTCAATAAATTTGTTTTACTCTTCCTCCCATAGATCTCTTCCACCACCACCACCCCTAACCCCCAGAACATTATCCAAAGCCAGGATGATGCTCAGTCATCTCCATCTGGTCCACGTGTGGTAATTTTTTGGTTGATTAAGTTATAAACTAAAAAGAAGAGGCATTGGGAAATGTCTTTCATTGGACTCTGTTTCCCCTCTATGATAGGAATTATTTTGTCCACATTTTTCTGTCTACTGGTTCCACTCTTTGGGACTTCTCTTTTGATTATTCTCCATGGCAATACCTAAAGTGATTGATGAGAAGTAAGTTATCTCCGGGTCTACGCGGATTTTGGAGTCAGCTTCCTCATATGGAAAGCTGTGAGCCCAAGGCTGTTCATTGTTTTAGGCCTTGACTAGTCTTTGTCCCTGGCTTTCGTTTTCTTTAGAAATACTCTTTCCTCATAAACTTGACAGGCTTCTCATTGATTTCCTTCTACACAGTTCTTATGGCACAAACTGTACCTCAAATACTGTCCTAGAAATACTTCTCAGTTTTCTTTGTCTTTTTTCCCCCCTCTTCCTTATGTTTCTCTCAACTTAATGGCAGTCACCTGGGTGCTGTCCAGATTGAGTGGGAAGGCTGCAACTTGAATGACATCTTGGCCATAAGGTGGTTGGTCCTCTAGCAAGTCTTTGTTGCTCACAGTTTTCTCAATGTTATTTCCTACTATTTGGGGTCTAGGAGACTTCAAGACCTCAAATGTATGTAATTTTCCTGTTTTATTTCTTCCTGCACACTGCCTAAAATTGCCAACCAATAACGGCCAGTATACACAGACAGTTTGATTCCTTTCAACTGCTTCTCTTGGAGCTGACAGATCAGTAAGAATGTGGCTGTCTCTTAAGTTATTGCAAGCGAGGATTTTTGTCAAATGTTTTGCCATTGCACAGTATGGATTGCCACCTTTTCTGCTTCTGCAGCCAGTTTCCTTTGTTCCCACCACTGGCATGCTAAGCCAGGGTCACTTATTTTAGATTTGTGTTTTCCTAGTGCCCTCCTTTAAGGTCCCATTTGGGGCGTTTTCATTATAATAGTAATGCTAGACCAGTAAAATGAACTTCCAAATCTTGGTGTCTTAAAACAAAGCCATGATGAAGTTAATTTCTCACTCTGTAATCCAATGTAGGTAGGAGAAGGGGGTCAAGAAAAAAACTGCTTCATGCAAACAAGCAGAGCATAATCTAACAGGAGCTCCCTCATCTTCAATGCATGACTCCCATTTTCCCTGAGCATGGATATGCAGCTAGAGGCTGGGAGAGGATAGAAAGTGTGGATGATCACACAGGATGTTTTAGAAGCCAGCTCTGTGAGTGGCACATTTCAGCAAAAGCCTTGGGATTGGCTCTGATGGTCCTGTGGAGTCATCACTGTCCTTTAACTGATCCACGTAACTAGAGAGTTCAGGCTTCCCTTACCAGGATTGCGTCACATGGTCAACCCGAGAGCTAGAGGCCAGGGTTAACTCCATCTGGAGTTGCACTGGGAGGTACGAGATGTGGTTCCTTCAAATAAACCACCAGAAGAAGGGGAAGGAGGCATTGGAAAGTCAACCCAATAGGTGTTTATTACGCAAGCTTGAAAACTTGACTGACCTGATTCTGCTCACTATTCACAGAAGGATCACAGGGAAAAATAGGAGAGAATGATGGGATGACAACCAGCTAAAGCGGGGCCAAGGCATCACTTCCCACTTTCTCGTGAGAGTATTTCCCTTCACCTACCTGGCCTCCTGCATCATGAAACTACCAGGGTACATACAGAATCCCCGGACATTTATATTGATTCCCTGCCTTGAAAAGATTATGTACCTTCTCTCCATGAGAAGTCACCACATGGAATAGTCTTCCCTTTCCTACCTCCAAGCTTCTCTAGGGGTTAGGCTTAGCAACTCCCAAACGTGGTCTCATGGACACAGTAACTCTCACATAAAGCAAAAGAGAGTGGAAATGCTAGTGGCAGGTGGAAAATAGGAAAGAATGATAATACGATCCAACTGAGGGAAAGACGGGGCTCCCGGAAAAACTTTTT